GTCCGGGCTGGGGATTCGAACCCGCCACCTTAGGTGTACATGGCTGGCGCCTTAGCCGGTTGAGCTATAGGCGCCGAGCCAACAAATAGTATTTAAGGCTCAATTCCATGTAGAATCTGAAACCGTATCAATGAAATTTAGACGCTATCCATCTTTTTAGCATTTTGGATGGATCTCTTACTCATACTTGATTTTGTAACATCCTCATTTGTCATTTGGAAAATACTGGTTGATTAAGTTATACAGCTCTTCCAAATATTGATATATGTCATAATATTTTCAAAATCACATGCATTCTAGCACTCTTGGAGGCTGAGGTGGGTGGATTGCTTGTGCTCATGAGTTTGAGACCAGCCTGAGCAAAAGCGAGACCCTGTCTCTACTAAAAATAGAAAAACTGAGGCAAAAGGATCACTTGAGCTCGAGACGGAGGTTGCTGTGAACTATAATGCCATGGCAGTCTACCCAGAGCAACAACTTGGGACTCTGTCTCAAAAAAAAAAAAAACCACATGCATTAATATGACCACCAATCTGTCAAGCTCACAAAGGCAAGTATGAGTTTTCTACAATTCTAATTTTCCTTGGAAAGTTCAAATTTTATCATAAACTACAAAAAATTGTCCGTTGTTTTCCTTTAAGAGAAAGGCTCATTTGTTCATGTTTGATAAAATGCCTGCCAAACACCCAATTCTGAATAAACATAGTTGTATTTGCCATATAAATGGTGTTCAATGATAAAAGTGGTTCAGCTAGTAATGCAGAAATGCTTCCCCTGAAGCCATACTTCTGTACACAGCAGAGAAACTATGTGTGCTTCCCGTTTCATCATAGTTAACATTTTTAAAAGACCCACAGGTTGACTTCCTAAGTTTTGGGAACTCTCAGGCGGTCTGTGGACCACACTTTGAACAATTAGTGTTGTAGACGATTATATCATATGGGTACATAATATATTTGGTCAATGTTCTTTTTTTTTTTTTTTTTTTTTTGCAGGGAGACTCAAGCTGTCCCCCTGGGTAGAGTGCAGTGGCATCGTACTCCTTCAGCCACAGGTGCCACCCCGGTCAATGTTCTTTATTTTTGAGACAGAGCCTCAAGCTGTCGCCCTGTGTAGACTGTTGTGGCATCAC